AAAAAAAAAAACATGCTGCCATCGAGTAGATTCTGACTGATAGCGACCCCCTTTAGGTTTCCAAGGCTAGTAAATATTTACAGGTAGGTTTGAACTACCAACTTTCTTGTTAGCAGTCAAATGCCTTAGGCACTACAGCACCAGAGCTCCTTTCTTAAAGGAGAGGATCATCTAAAAAGAGACGGACTGCGGTAGTGGCTGCAACAATGTGCTCAAGTATAGCAATGATTGTGAGGATGGTGCAGGACCCAGCAGTGTTTTTGATTATTTGTACATGAGGTCGATGTGCATTGTAGTCAACTTGGCAGCATCTAACAACAGCAACAATAGTATCGAGACATATAAATTGTACATATATATATATATATATAATGCACACAGATCATCTATACATATATATACATACATAAACACATGTATGTGTGCATATATGTGTATATTTCTTTTTTAAAAAAATATGTAACTGTTACTCACATCAGCTGGACACTCTTATCTTATAATATCTCATATCATGAATTGTGGAAAGTCTCATGTTCTCCCAAAGATTTCTACAAGTTTCTGGGGACTGGTATTCTTCTAGCTTCAACCTCCTTTCTATCCTGAATTACTTCAGTTTAAATGTCAGGTCACAATCTCCAACTTGTGTGGTCCCTGTCCTGTGCTAACTCAGGGTTGGAACTCAGCCCTTTCCTTTAATTTCTGTCAAAATAAAATAAAATGGTAAAAACAAAGAAAGCAAACAAACAAAAATGCTATCTTCTCTCTGCTCTAAAATAGTCCCTTAGCCATTTCCACAAGTCAGAGATCCAACTTCCTGCCATGTTCTTCTCTCTCTTCTGCTCTCTCTGTCCCTCTGTCTGTCCTCATGCCCTTACTCCCTCCCTCCTCCTCCCATGATCTTCTCTTCTTTCTTTGCAGCTGTTCATACATTTGTACATTAGCTATTACTTTTCAGAAGCTTGGATCATGCTCTCTTGATTCCCTTTCTCACCTCAAATTGCTAATCAAATAATTTTATCAAACAAAGCTCCCGTCTTTAGAGGAATTCTGGAACCAGCTGGTGAAGGATAATACAGTTTTATCCATCCTACATTACATTTAGCCAAGTCAATGAAAGAGTTAAAGTAAATTTTCACATTTTTTACCCTAATTTGTAAAATACTAACAAACATTCATTCATTCAATATCATCTAATGAGAACAAATTATCCTTCTCTATGACTTCTAAGTTGATTCAGATCTAAAAACATCATTAAATCACTTAGAAATTACTTTAAAATTTGCAGTCTTATTGGACTTACAATAATGCATATGAATTCTGAACTTTATTTTTCAGTCAGATTCCTATCAGCAGATGATTTAAACTATAATTACAAAGTGGAGGGTTTGAGAAACCTAAGAACCTGCTACAGATGCTATTAAGTATACATAAAAGTATACACCAAATGCTATCAAGGAACGTAGAAAGGAAGGTTTGGTTTCACCTTTCTTCAACAGATGTTCCACTCAATTAATATATGTTGCTGTAGGTTGCCTAGATGAAGAATGCCAGTTTATGTTTTGAGGAAGGAAATGAAAACAAATTCTGCTGCACAGTCGCTTCCTAGAAACAGGCTGCTACTGCCACCTGGGGGAGGTTCTTTCTGCTTCATTCAGAAAGCTAAATGTGCTTGTCAGATGAATGAATCCGGTTCATGTTTTCCTTGTCATTTCCACACAGGAAGACATTTTAACTCTCTGTCCATGAAATCATAAAGCATTCCAGATGACTCCGAGTTCCCTTCATACAGAAATACATACTTCACAGACTTTTTGAGAGGGACAGGATGAGATAAACCAGAAGATGGCCATACTAAAATTTCTGCAATTTACACACTGAGAGAGTATTTTAGAAAGTATGGATTATATGCTTCTGTTGTTGTTCTTGTTGTTAGGTGCCATCAAGTCAGCTCCAACTCATAGCAATCCTATGTACAACAGAACAAAATACTACATATTCCTGAACCATTTGCATAATATTTGCTGTGCTTGAGCCCATCATTGCAGCAACTTTGTGATCTATCTCAAGGGTCTTCCCCTTTCTCACTGACCCTCTACTTTACCAACCATGATACCGGTCTCCAGGGAATAGTCCCTTCTGACAACATGACCAAAGTAGGTGAGATGAAGTCTGGCCATTCTCACTTCCAAGGAGCATTCTGGCTGCACTTCCTCCAGAACAGATTTGTTCATTCTTCTGTCAATCCATGGTATTTTCAATATTCTTCACCAACACCACAACTGAAAGGCATCAACTCTTCTTCGGTCTTCTTTATTCATTGTCCAGTTTTCACATGCACATGGGCTATTGAAAATACCATGGCTTGAGCTAGGCACACCTTAGTCTTCAAAGTGACAGCTTTGATTCTTAACACTTTAAAAAGATCTTTTGCAGCAGATTTTCCCAGTGAAATACAACACCTGATTTCTTTACTACTGCTTCTATGGCTGTTGATTATGGATCAGAGTAAAATGAAATCTGACAACTTCAATGTTTTCTCCATTTATCATAATGTTGCTTGTTGGTCCAGTTGTGAGCATTTTTTATTTATGTTGATATGTAATCCATACTGAACACTGCTCTTTGATCACCATCAGTAAGTGCTTTAAGTCATCTTTACTTTGAGCAAGCAAGGTTGTGTCACCTACATATCACAGGTTGTTGATGAGTCTTCCTCCAATCTTGATGCCACATTCTTCATATAATCCAGCTTCCTGGTTTATTTTCTCAGCATACAGACTGAATAAGTATGGTGTAAGGACACAACGCTGACACACACACCTTTCCTGATGGCTTATATATTCTCACTGCCATTGAGTCAATTCTGATTCATAGCAACCTCCATTGGGTTTCCAAGGCCATAAATCTTTACAAAAGAAGACTGCCTCATCTTTTTTCTGTGGAGTGGCTGGTGGGTTCTAACCACTGACCTTTATGTTTAGCAGGCAAATGTTGTAGCCACTATACCCCCATAGCTCCTTGAACTATATACTCCTTAAAGTGGAAGAAATCAGATTTAAGCTTTTAGTAGCAGGATGAAACTCAGATTTTTAAAGCAAAATTTCTTTGGCCTCTATTTATAGTGAAATTATAATCCTTTTTCTAAATATGCTATCTTTAATTGATATAGAAACTGAATGTTCTGATATAAACATGTTAGTTGTTTCATCAATTAGAATCAGATAATAAATTTCAATTGTGCAGGAACAACCAAAAGAGTTTTCTCTCTTCATAAATTTGTAATTTATGAACTAAATACAGCTATGAATTCAATATCTAACTGTTGAGTATATATATTGCACAACTATTTCTTGAAACTTTTCATCAAGATGAGATATGGTGCTCATCAATTAAATGAAAAATATTGTGACCATTGCTAAAGAATTCCTAGTTTCTATTTAATACTTACCAATATTGAATTTTCATCCTATCAATAAATTGTTACTTATTAGCAAGGCCCTTAATCATGAAAATTTAATGCTGGCAAGAGAAGTTTCAGGAAGTACTTATGGAAATTACAAGTCTATCGGGTAACATAAAAGAGTTAATGCTGATTAGAGGGAGACAGACATTTGCAAAAAAAAAAGTCTGGTAATAGATTAACTAAATAAAATGCATACAGTGTCAGTCCCAGAGTGGTACAATATCACTGTCAGAAGATAAAGTTCATACCAAAGAGCAACTGCACCAGCTTGAGGGAAGTCTATTGAGAAATCATTTTCTAAGACTGGAAAAGGTATGTGATTTACAACAATTTTATTGGGGTTGAATGCTCAATTTTTTAAAAATATCATGAGTCGGACTCAAGAGTAAAAAGAAATCAACAAACTAGCACCTTAGTGCAGCCAACACAGTGAAATGAGCTGGGTGAGCTGGAGTCATCTTGAAAGACTTGAACAAGAAGTAGATTTTTGTAGAGGTGAGTTTCCTTCAAGGCCATTATGGTAGGATCTGGAGAGATTGAGATGAAAAGTGTTAGAAGACTAAAGATAGTTATAGGCTATAACCAAAACTAATAGCTATAAAAATTAAAATCTCATTTCTGAACATGGAGCTTGAACATCTTTGGTAACTGGCCAGTAGCAAAGCCTTATTGATTTAATAAAAATGATTGATAGTCATATAATGCTATAAGGAGCTTATGTTTTGTACAAAAGGTTAATTGCACTTTACAGGTAGTAGAAATAGAATAGACTCTCCCAATATTCTATTACCTCTTAACTTAGTTGAAAATGCATTGGGCTTTACTTTCTTTATTAAAGAGTCAACATTTTATAATGATGGGCAAAGGAGATGATTTATTAATTATTTCATAATAGAAATTACAAGTAGTTCTCATTTTCATCATGATGTTGCCTGGTTGTAAAAATAACAGAAGAATAAATCTTTAGTAAACAGAAACAGAAGGCTTCTTTAACATAATTCATGTTTCATAGAAAAGAAACATTCAGGAAGTTGGGAAAGATGATTTTTTGCAGATGGCACTTATGTATTAATGGGATGGAGTGGGTACACTGTTTAAAAAAAAAGCAACAAGGGCTAGTTCTTCCACTGTTCTGTTCCTACTTCTCTTTCAAAGGTGAATAGTTTTCAAATACTGTTGCTAGCTATGTTCCTGAGCTCAGGAGCCTTAGCACTCATTCCTAAACCAACTCATCTACCACATGGATGAGTTAACATATTCTTCCTAAAACAGGCTTACATTATCTTCATGCTTCTTCCTCCCACTTCTCAATTTGTATGTAACTTCTCTCTTCCCTCTCAGTGTGAACTACTGATAATATTTCAATCTTCCCTTCTGTCACTGGATGTCTCCACCCTTCCATATTTTGATCACCATGAATGAGGGTAAGGCAAATCAAAGAGTAGTGCTGTGAGTGTTCCATACCAGATAAGAAGTTTCACATTCGATGAATGTAGAAACCTAACTATTTATGCTATACTTTTGTTTATCCACAGCCATGACAGACCCCAAAAAAATGATCATCAACTTGGCCCTCTTTGGCATGACTCAGAGTGGAAAAAGTTCTGCTGGGAACATTCTACTGGGAAGCAATGACTTCCATAGTAGCTTTGCTCCATGTTCTGTGACCGAAAATTGTAGCCTAGGTCGCAGTTGTCATCTTCACAACTTCATGCGACGAGGGGGTCAAGAGATAACCTTGCAGGTCCAGGTGTTGGACACTCCAGGATATCCACACAGCACCCTGAGCAAGAAACATGTGAAACGGGAGGTCAAGGAGGCCCTGGAACATCACTTTGGGCAAGATGGTCTTCACTTTGCACTGCTGTTACAGAGAGCAGACGTGCCTCTCTGTGGACAGGAAGCACTGTCCCCAATCCAGATGATCCAGGTAATTCAAAAAGGCAAAGTCACTAATGTCAGTATTCACATTTGCTGGACCCTATCCTGGTAGTTGTTGTTTTTGCCATTGAGTCAGCTCAGGCTCATAGCAATCTTATGTATAGCAACAAAACTTTGCCTAGTCCAGTACTGTCCTCAGAAGCCCTGGTGGCATTTGACTGCTAACCAGAAGACTGGCGGTTCAAACCTACCAGCCACTCCTCAGAAGGAAGGTTGAACAATCTACTTTCATAGTGATACTGCCTCAGAAACGCAAGGAGGGGTTGCTATGAGTCAGATCCAAATTGACAGCAATGAGTTTGATTTTTGGGGGCGCCATCCTGAGGGTAGTTGGTATGTTTCACTGAGTCTATTGTTGTGAAATCTGGACAATGAATAAGGAAGACTGAAGAAGAGTTTATGCCTTTGAATTGTGGGTTTGGCAAAGAATACTGAAAATACAATTGACTGTCAGAAGAATGGACAAATCTGTCCTGGAAGAAGTGCAGCCGGAATGCTCCTTAGAAGTGATAAATGGCCACACTCTGTCTCACCTACTTTGGTCATGGTGTCAGAAGGGACTGTTCCCTGGAGAAAGGTATCATGCTTGGTAAAGTAAAGGGTCAGCAAAAAGGGGGAAGACCCTCAACAATATGGATTGGCACAGTGGCCACAATTATGGGCTCAAGCATAGCAAAGACTGTGAGGATGACACAGGACTGGACAGTGTGATGTTCTGTTGTACACAGGGTTGCTATGAATCAGAGCTAACTCAATGGCTCCTAAAACAACAGCAGCCACCTTATTTGGCTATTTTATAAAAACATCTCATTGAGGCTTTCCCCCATTTTTGAAAGCCCTCTAGTTTACCAAACATGATGTCCTTTGCTAGCAGTTGGTCTTTTCTGATGACACATCCAAAGTAAGCAAGCTAAAGCCTTGTAAATGCTAGTCACAAAGAAATAATAAAACTTGTATTATTTTCCCACCAAGAGTCATTGTCACAACTTCCCTTAGGGGAATCAGTCAGTCAATCTACTACTGGGTCATATTAAAAATTAAATAAATGAACAAATAATTGAGATACAAAACTGCAGAGTTTCCCTAAGGATATTTAAGAACCTGCAAACCCGAATGTATTTGTAAAGTGTAGTCCCCAGATGATCTGAATCAGTATCACCTGGGGTCCTTCTTAAAAATGCAGATTCATTCAAGAGCTACTGAAAGAGAATCCCTAGAATCTTGGATATCTGAATTTTGATAAACTTTCTACTTGTTTTTTAAGGAAAGTCAAATTTCAAAACCATGGCCTAAAATACTGACTTGCATCCACTCAGTGTCAACGGAGAAATCTTTTATAGTTCACCAACAAATTGGTGTTCATTCACTGACTCAATCATTGAACACTGTTTATTGGGCACTTGCACGAAGCTTAATGATTGGGTAATAACACATGGGCCCTCACCTCAAAAAGTTTACAGCATAAAAGAGACAAAACAATAAATAAACAAGAATAAGATGATGCATTTTTGCCAAAATAATGTAATGTAAGAAGAGGAAAAAAAAAGGAGGTTTCGCTGAGATTTACAAGCATAGTAAAAATTCAGGAGAGATCTAGGTTTTACTTATAGAAAAGAAATCAGGAATTTCCAATCCAATGCTTGTCATATCCTCTGCAGGGTCAGTAACTCCTCCATTTCAGCCATGAGAAGACTATTGGGACACCAGGGTGAATGAAAATAAGTATGCAGCGTTTGCCCACCCACTGCTCTATCCTATTTGTTATTCCTTTGTTATGTGTTGCTAAATTGAATATTTATTGAGCTAGTTTATGAGAGGAGCTAAATGGATGGGAAAGGTCCTGGTGTGACCAGAAGCTAGGAGATGGAAGGAATAATAATACATGTATGTGTGCCTGCAAGTGTGGGTATTATTGTTGTTGTGCCATTGAGTTAGATTCATCTTATGGCAACTCCCTGTTCAGCAGAACAAAATGTTGTCCAGTTCTGTGCCATCTTTATGATCCTTGCTATGCTTCAGTCCATTGTTGTAACCATTGTGTATTTTGAGTGCCTTTCAACCTAGAAGTTTCATCTTCCAGCACTATAATGGACATTAATCTCTTGTGATCCATAGTGTTTTAATTGACTAGTTTTTAAAAGTAAATCACTAGGCCTTTCTATTCTGCCTTAGTCTGAAAACTCCTTAGTCTGAAAACTGCACTGAAACACATTCACTATTGATGACCCTGTTTGTATTTGAAATATCAATGGAGGCATTACTTCTAGCATTTTAGCAACATGCAGGCCATCACAATGCAAAAAAAAAAAAAAAAAATTACAGCTGAGTAGTGGAGATATACATATATCAACTTCTCTGTCAGTTTGTCATTCTGTGGTTACCTGTATGTGTTGCTGTGAGACTGGAGGCTGTACCACCAATATTTTACATACCAGCAGGGCCACCCATGGTGGACAAGGTTTCAGCAGAGCTTCCAGACTACGACAGACTTAGAAGAAAGAGGCCATCCACTTCTCAAACAATTGTCCAGTGAAAACCTTATGTAGCAGTGAAACACTGTCTATTACTGGAAAATTTTATAAGTAGCCCTGAAACATAGTCCAATATAATGCTGGAAGATGAGCTCCTCAGGTTGGAAGGCACTCAAAATACAACTAGGGAAGAGCTGTTTCCTCAAAGTACAGTCAACTTTAATGATGTTGATTGAGTAAAACTTTCTAGACCTTCATTTGCTGATGTGACATGACCCAAAATAGGAGGAAACAGCTGCAAATATCCATTAATAATCAGAACATGAAATGTAGGAAGTATGAACCTAGGAAAATTGGAAGTTGTCAAAAATGAAATGGAACACATAAAGATTGATATTCTAGGCATTAGTGAGCTGAAATGGACTGGTTTTAGCCATTTTGAATCAGACAACCATACAATCTACTATGTTGGGAAAGACAAATTGAAGAGGAATGATGTGGCATTCATCATCACAAAGAATGTTTCAAGATCTATCTTGGAGTACAATGCTGTCAGTTATAGGAAAATTACCATCTGCCTACAAGGAAGACCACTTAATACAACTATTATTCAAATTTATGCACCAGCCACCAAAGCCAAAGATGAGGAAATTGAAGACTTTTATAAACTTCTGCAGTCTAAAATTGAGCAAACGTGAAATCCAGGTGTGTTGATTATTACTGGTGATTGGAACACAAAAGTTAGAAACAAAGAAGGACCACCAGTAGTTGGAAAATCTGGCCTTGGTCATAGACACCAGAAATGACACCAGAGATTACATGATAGAATTTTGCAAGATCAATGACTTATTCATTGCAAATATGTTTTTTTCAGCAACATAAACACATGCACTTCACCATATGCAATACACAGCAATCAAGTAGACTATATCTGTATCTGTAGAAAGAGGCGATGGAGAAGCTCAATATCTTCAGTCAAAACATGACAAGGAGCTGACTGGAACAGACCAACTGCTCATATGCAAGTTCAAGTTGAAGCTGAAGGCAATTAAAACAAGTCCATAAGAGCCAAAAGATGACCTTGATACATCCCACCTGAATTTAGAGACCATCTAAAGAATAGATTTGATACACTGAACACCAGTGACTGAAAACCAGATGAACAGTGAGACGGCATCAAGAATACCATACACGAAGAACGAAAAAGTCATTAAAAAGACAGGAAAGGAAGAAAAGACCACAAAGGATGTCAGAAGAAAGAGACTCTGAAACTTGTCCTTGAATGGAGAGTAGCTAAAACAAATGGAAGAAATGACAAGATAAAAGAGCTGAAGAGAAGATTTCAAAGAGCAACTTGAGAGGACAAAACCAATTATTATAATGAAATGTGCAAAGACCTGGAGGTAGAAAACAAAAGGGAAGCACAAGCTTAACATTCCTCAAGCTGAAAGAACTGAAGAAAGAACTCAAGCCTCAAGTTGCAATATTGAAAGATTCTATGGACAAAATATTGAATGATGCAGGAAACACCAAAAGGAGATGGAAGAAATACACAGTCACTGCACACACAAAAAATATTGGTTGATGTTCATCTATTTCAGGAGTTGATATATGATCAAGAACCAATGGCACTGAAGGAAGAAGTTGAAACTGCACTGAAGTAATTGGTGAAGAACAAGGCTCCCAGAATTGACAGAATACCCATTGAGATGTTTCAACAAATGGATGCTACATTGAAGGCACTTACTCTTCTATGCCAAGAAATTTGGAAGACAGCTACCTGATCAACTGAATGGAAGAGATCCATATTTGTACCCATTCCAAAGAAAGGTGATCCCACAGAATTTGGAAATTACTGAATATCATTAATATCACACACAAGTAAAATCTTCCTGAAGATAATTCAAAAATGGTTGTAGCAGTATATTGACAGGGGACTTCCAGAAATGCAACCTGCATTCAGAAGAGGACATGGGACAAGGAATATTATTACTGATGTCAGATAGATCTTAGCTGAAAGAAAAAGATAACAGAAAGATGTTTATTTGTGTTTCCTTGACTATACAAAAGCATTCGATTTTGTGGATCATAACAAATTATGGATAACATTGAGAAGAATGGAAATTCCAGAACACTTAATTGTGCTGATGAGAAATCTGTACATAGACCAGGAAGTTGGCATTTGAACAGAACAAAGGGATACTGCATGGTTTTAAATCAGGAAAAGTGTACATCAGGGTTGTATCCTTTGACCATACTAATTCAATCTGCATGCTGAGCAAATAATCTGAGAAGCTGGACTATATGAAGAAGAACACAACATCAGGATTGGAGGAAGCCTCCCTTAATAACCTGCAATACACAGATGACACTATCTTGCTTGCTGAAAGTCAAGATCACTTGAAGCACTAACTGATGAAGATTAAAAACTATAGTCTTCAGTATGGATTACACCTTAACATAAAGAAAATAAAAGTTCTCACAACTGGACCAATAAGCATCATCATGATAAATGGAG